TGGTGTCGGCAGCGTCGGACCACTCCTCCGGTATGAATATGTTAGACGATTGGAGCTCGTCGTGATTCAACGACGCCATTTTTCCTCACTCTCTCTGTATCTTCGGTCTCCGCACTTTAGCAGCAAAGTGTGTTCAGGCGTGTTTATGATGTTCTCAAATAAACGGCAACACAGAAAGGCACGTTTTTCCTGTGATGTAGCGGGTCGGGTTAGGGCCCGAAAGTAAATGATCGTAAATTCCTTTTTCTAATATTTTTTTCCTTTTTTACTTTTGTAAATAACTCTCAAGTCTCAAGATCGAGTCTTACTTTCTTGTACTACTAATATCCAAGTATTAAAAGCATAGAATTAGTTATCAGTACTCAGTAGCATGAGTAGAATTTGCACAATCGAGTTCGAATGAAAATCGTGTTATTTTTTATTTTTTGTTTTAATAAAATACGTATAAACTTTAATTACATGATTAGATTAGCAAAAATTCTCTTTAATCTGTTAAACAAAAGTTCTATTTAAATCTTGGAAAACATTTAAAACACAATAAAAACAAAAAGTCAACAATTTAAAATTCTACTATGTCTTACATTCTACTATGTTTTACGTTTATGATTAGCAAATAAAAATTCAACGATTTAAAACGCAATATGCAAAGCATATATGGATACATATATTTTACTTAAACAAAACGATTAATGTAATACAACTTATAGTGAACTTATAGCTAGTCAATGATCATTATAGCATAAATTAAATTTTTCTAAGCTAACTACTTTGACAGCTAAGCTACAGTTAACTATCAACTAACTGTGATTAACAAACTAAGCTAGCTAAACTCTACAAAGGATACAGAGAAGGAAAAATAAATATACAGAGTTATCTCAATATCCCCCCCACCCCCACCCCCAAGTTGGAGGTGAAGTCTTCACACCCAACTTGCTCAATATCGCAGATTGCTTGACACCAGTAAGAGCTTTAGTGAGGACATTGCTAACTGAGCACCAGTACCAATATGATGAAGAGAAATCAATTTTTCTTGGAGCTTGTCTCGCACAAAATGGCAATCAACCTCGCTATGCTTTGTTTGTTCATGGAAAACAGAATTACGAGCTATGTGTAAAGCAGATTGACTATCACAAAATACTGAAACAGGCTTAGGATAGGGAATAGTGAGTTCATCAAATAGTCTGCATAACCAAGTTAGTTCACCAACAACTTTCCTCAAGGATCTATATTTTGTTGCTGCTGAAGATAGGGACATTGTTTCTTGTTTCTTGAACTTCCAACAAATTGGACTATTGCCCAGTAGGACTATGTATCCAGTAATTGACCTTCTAGAATCTGGACAAGCAGCCCAGTCTGAGTCACGATAACCCTTCAGGCTGCAATCAGAGTCATTAGATAGAAAAATTCCCAGAGTTGGATCACTCTTCAGGTACCTAAGTAAATGAAAAGTTGCTTTCAAATGTGGCTCCCTGGGGTCTTGCATGAACTAGCTGAGGTGTTGTACACTGAAGGTTATGTCCAGTCTAGTATTGGTGAGAAAATTTAATTTTTCCTACCAATTTCCTGTAGTAGGTAGGATCTGGCAATGATGCTCCTTCCTTGGCTCTTAGCTTTTCATTTGGATCAATGGGAGTAGACAGACTGCTATAAGAAAGACAGTCATAGTCTTTGAGTAAGTCTAATGCAAACTTCCTTTGAGATATTATTACTCCATCACTTATGTAAAGAACCTCCAAACCAAGAAAATAGTTTAGCTTCCCCAGGTCTTTTATCTTAAATTGATCATGTAGAAAGCATTTGACTTGAGTAATTTCTGAAAGATCTGTCCCAGTGATGATAACATCATCTGCATATACTGCTATATAGATGGTAGAATATTCTATTTTTTTGTAGAAAACTGAGTAGTCATTGAGAGAATATACATAACCCTTTGAGCAAAGGGTCTCAGTCAACTTAGAGTACCACTGCATGCTTGCCTGTTTGAGGCCATATAAGGATTTGTTCAACTTATACACTAAACCCGGAGAACTAATTTCTAGTCCTGGTGGTATTTGCATATAGACTTCCTCATGCAAGTCTCCATGAAGGAATGCATCGTTCACATCTAACTGAAAAATATGCCACTGCTTCTTCACTACAGTAGCTATAAGAGCTCTCACTGTTATCATTTTCACTACAGAACTGAAGGTTTCTGTGTAATCTATGCCAGGCTGCTGGGTATACCCTTTTACTACACCTAACTTTGAACATTTCTACTGTTTTATCAGCTTTGTGTTTGATCTTGTATACCCACATGTAGCCAATTGCCTGCTTCCTACTTGGTAAGGGCATTATATCCCAGGTATGTTTTGCATGCAGGGCTTCAACTCCTGTGTTATTGCTACTTGCCAGGCAGGATTAAGAGCAGCTTCCTCATATGAAGATGGTTCAGAATCATTACAGACATTCATAACAAGCAACTGACTATCATGGACTAAAGAATCGGTAGAAATATGACTATCTAACGAGAATAAGGCAATAAGGGAAGTTGGAGTGGTTGATGGATCAGTAGGCAGAGAAATAGAAGTTGGCTTCAATTGAGGTATTGAATAGATGTAGTCTTGCAGGTGTGCAGGTAATTTGTGTTCTCTACTAGACCTTCTAGGCTCTAGGACAGGAGAATCATTTTGTGAAATGGGATCAAAAAGATTTTGTGAGAGGATTTCAGGAGAATGAGATTGTGATTCTGGAAAAGCAGGTGTAGAGTGATCAGATGGGGAGTGATCAAATAAAGAAAGGTCATGTGCTACTTCAGGGTTGTCTGGACTGGTGAATTGTCTGTTGTAGGTTGAGATGTAGTAGTGTGTAGGTCAGAAATGAAAGGTAGTAGAGTTGGAAAAGAAGAACCTGTAACAGGTGACACAATAAAGGGAAATATATTTTCATGGAAGGTTACATCTCTGGATATGTGAATCTTCCTGGTTTGCAAGTTCAGTACTTTGTATCCTTTGGTTTCAAAAGGATATCCAACCAAGACGTGAGGTACAGTTCTGGGATCAAATTTGTCCCTGTGTATTTTTGGTATAGTGGGGAAACACAGACACCCAAAACTTCTCAAATGGGAATAATTTGGTTTCTTTTTGTATAGGAGTTCAAAAGGGCATTTGTTCTTGAGGTATGTGGTAGGTAGTCTGTTAATAAGGAAGGTAGGTGTTAGGATACATTCACCCCAGTATCTTATAGGCAACTTTGATTAAAATAAAAGTGCCCAAGGCTGTCTCAAGAAGATACCTATGTTTTCTCTTAACCACACTATTTTGTTGTGTTGTGTATGGACAAGTTCTCCGATGAACAATGCCTTGGGTCTGAAAGAAAGAGTTTGCTTCTATACTGGTGAACTCCAAACCATTATCTGATCTTATCAGGTGAAATTGAGTTTTGACAAAAGATATGAAGGATTTAAGGATCTGTAAGGCATTGCTTTTGCTAGACAAAATATAAGTCCATATGGACTTGCTATGATCATCTACCATGGTTAAGAAGTACTTGTAATTGTTATGTGTGGGGACATGATAGGGTCCCCACAGATCAATATGCAAAAGATCAAAGATTTGTTTGGTCCTGCTGGCTTTGCTAGCAAAGGGTAGTCTAGTTTGTCTGGCCATGGGGCATATAGAACATAGAAAGGGTTGCTTATTAGAAAAGGCAACATGTATAGTGGTGATATTTCTCATCTTTTCAAAAGGAACATGGCCTAATCTATTGTGCCATAACACATTAACATCACTCTTATGAGATAAGAAAGAATCACAGTCAGGTGTTTTATTGCAAATAGAATTATTTACATTTGAAAAGGAATGATCTTGTGAAGCACTGTGATTACAGACACTAGATGGAGGTCTCTGCAAACTATGTACATCACAAGCATGACATGAAACACGAAAAGAAGAAACAAATGCAGAACTAGTACTAGCACTCTTCAAATAGAGGGAGCACAAGAGATACAACCCATCCTCGATTTTACCAATCTCTAGAGGACTCTTTATTGAAGGGGCCTGCATTATAGAACATGTGTCAGTAAAAGGCTATCAAGGATTTAAGTTATGCAGTCAAAGAGGATATGGAAATGAGATTAAACTTGAAAGAGGGAACAAACATGACTTTGTGTAGAGTAGTTTGAGGAGCAAGGTACACTACCAATCTCTGTTACCTTAACTCTATAGCCATTTGGGAGTGACTAGCAAGGGATATGGTAAAATCCTAATATCAACTAATGAAGTCTTATTAAAGGTCATATGATTTGAAGCTCCTGAGTCTAAAATCCATGTGTCAGTCCAAGTTCTGAAACATCTACAAGATAACTTGCCAAAATCAATAGACGATATACAAGTTATTATACATGCAAAGTTCATAGTTCCTACAGCAAGGTTTACTGATCCAGCTCCATGGTTTGTGTTCTGTGAACTTTCTCCTCCACTGCTGGTATTGAAGTGTTGAAGTATATTAATCAATTGACTATATTGTTCCTTGGATAGGTTCAGGTTCTGATTCTCATCCTTGGGTCCAAACTCCTTAGTCTTGGCAGAGATCTCATCAGATAAGTTGGAGTGTGCATTGGCCACAACTCTTTTGTTCTTATTGTACTTGAGGTTTTGATTGTTGTTTGAAGTCTGGGGATAGCCATGAAGTTTGAAACACTTGTCCTTAGTGTGTCCTGGACGTTTGCAGTAGTCACAAAATGGCCTTGACCTATTGGTATTTGGAAAATTAGAATTGGGAGTGTAATTGGTCCTGAAGTTATTGTTCCTGAAATTGTTGGCATTTCCTGAGGCATTGGCATGAAGGGAAATTGACTCTGAAACCATCTGATTTGAAGGTCTCATTTCACGTTGCTTTTCATCCTGGATGAGCAAAGAAAAAGCTTGTGCCATCGAAGGAAGAGGGTTAATCATGAGAATGCTACCCCTCACTGTTGTGTACACCTCATTGAGCCCCATGAGAAATTGAATTAACCTCTTATCCTACTCAGCCTTGTGCATACCTTCCTTAGCACCACAGGTACACTGGCAGCTGCATTGTGTTTTTGCATTCAAAGTACTCAATTCTTCCCAGAGTTTCTTCAATTGAGTGTAGTAGCCTGTGATGTCTAGGACTCCCTGAGATAGGTCATTGATATCCTTTTGGATTTGATACAATCTCGCACCATTAGTTTGCTCATATCGATCTTCCAACTCCTTCCATAATTCAACAGCATCACTTGCATATTCCACACTATCTGCTATCTCCTTTGAGAGTGAATTCAAAATCCACGAGGTCACCATATCATCACACCATTCCCATTGCCGAAATTTGGGAGATTGGGGATCAGGACGCTTACACTCTCCGCTAATGAAACCAGTTTTATTTTTAACAGAAAGGCCACGCAAAACTGCACACCTCCAAGACCTGTACCCAATTCCACTGAAAGCCACACTAACCAGCATAGCTCCAGGATTATCCGACGGGTGTAGATAGAGAGGATCACTGGGATCTAACACAGAATTGACAGTAGTTTCAACATTTTCGACATTTGAGGTATTATCAATCGCATTGGTTTGATCGACAACAACAAAATTTGAAAAATTGAAGAGATACGGAGTAGAAAAACAAGAGGAGAATTTAGGAAAGCAAAATTGAAGATAAGGCAAAGCTCACACTGCGCGGATCTACTGAGAATTAGGGCAGAATCGAAGAACACTACTCAGATCGTTTGAGCTAGGAGATATTGAAGATGATTGAATCGGAGATTCCTATGCGCTCTGATACCATGTCAATTTGTGGATTTAAGGCATTGAACTTCACTCTTGACTAGAGACTCCATTGATGAGCTTTAGAAGCTTCGCATGAGCTGAGGAGAAAGGAGACTTGATTCTCAAATACGGGGAATGAAAACTATGTATATTTGATATCCAACAGAGTATATATATACACATGGGTACCACTCCACAAACTAACTCTAACTACTTTGTACAGCTAAGCTAACTACTTTGACAGATAAGCTACAGTTAACTACCAACTAACTATGATTAATAAACTAAGCTAGCTAAACTCTACAAAGGATACAGAGAAGAAAAGTAAATATACAGAGTTATCTCAATAGTAATAACTATTCACTTAGTATTATGGAACAAAATAAAGAAAACAGATTGGGAAGCTATAACCTCAAATTGGCAACACCAAATTTTGAAGATGCGTCCATTTTATGAAGTGGATTTGCTTGACCAGTAACACCGTTGTTTGATGGCAACTTATATTAATTGTTATATTTTTGTCCTTCACAATAGTTGAGACTAAGAGCCCGTTTGACCAAGCTGCCAAAATCTGCTTATTTTAAAAAGTACTTTTTTAAGAAGTACTTTTGAAAAAAATAATTTGTGTTTGGCCAAATCATTTAAGAAGTACTTTTTGCAACATTTGGTAAACAAATTGTGTTTGGCTAATCTTTCTAAAAAGTGCTTTTGAGTAACAAATTACCAAAAAGGATAGTACCAAGGTCTTATAATTATTTTAAAGAGAAAAATAAACTTAAATATTTATTATAAGAGACTTCTATTATTTTTTATTTTATTTAATTAAAATATAAAATATAAAGTAAACAAATACAATAAAGATTTAACTCAATTTTACATATATACTTATACCAAAGTATATAATATTATCTAGTATAATTACTTATTGTTACACAATGATTTGAATAATCAAAATACATCATTTCTCATGAATTAGAAGTCTATTCCACAAATTACTATATACTGATAATCCATAAGTAAAGTCACTCACACATGATAATACTTTTGAACAATTCCATCTCTGCTTCTCTCACCCAACGCCTCCATATTAGTAGAAGATTTGCCTTGCATTTCTAAAGGAACATCAGAAGACCCATCTCCTTCCTCAATCTTTGCAATAATGTCTTCATTAGCATAACAGTTGAATTCTTTATCGGTAGAAGAATATCATCAGATGAAATTATGTATAGCCATGGTAGTTGTAACTAGATGATTCTGAGTGACAAACTTGAAATATGGCATTGAGCGTAAAATAAAAATAATTTTAAAGAGTAACTAATTATTAGCAACACATAATGTATACTTTAATTTTTTTAAAATTTAAATTAGAAACTAATTATTACCTAACCTAACCAACTTATTATGAGACTGCCACTTGGCTTAATGTGGATGTTTTTCCTTCATCTTTTTAATAATATATAGATAGATTATGCGATGAAATTGTAAATTTATTACCTATTTATAGGTAATTTTCACAAACTAGATTTGATAACTATTTTAAAGATTCGAGAACTAATAGCCTATAACAGAAGAAATTATATATGATTATTTGTAGGAAGAGAATTGATAATCCAAATGTCACGACCCAATTCCACTATAGGCCGTGATGACGCCCAACACCATTGCTAGGCAAGTCAACGCTGATCAACTAGTGATTTCCCATTTAAACAAATTACCGTGTGGATAAAATTCTTCAATTTGTTAAAAGACTTAGAAATTTACCAATGAAACAAAGCTTAAATGGAAGCAACGAATACAAATCGTAATCAGGTATACAATACCAAAAAAATCATAAGTATACTAGTGTGTGTGCCAAGACCTGATGTCACAAGTATGTGGGCAATCTAGTAGAATACAAAAGAATGCTAGCCTACTGTCTAAAAGGAAATAGACAGAAAATAAACATAAGAGAGACTCCAACTGCCGCAGAACGGCTCAAAAGGGCAGCTCACCAGGAAAGTCTCGAGCTGGGGGTCGAATCTACGCGCCGGAATGGTGACCAGATGCACCTGCCTCAAATCTTGTACAATCAAGTACAGAAGTGTAGCGTGAGTACATAAAAATATGTACCCAGTAAGTATCTAGTCTAACCTCGAAGAAGTAGTGCGAAGGGTCGACTCCGACACTTACTAGGGCCAACAATATAATATCATAAAGTTTCCATTTTAAGCATTATATATGGAGATAACAATAAATTCAGAACGGGAAAATAACTGAACAATTCTTCCGTCAAAATTAAGAATCACAGTCAAACACTTCCTTCGTTTAAGACAAACAATCTCTCAACAATAGCTTATACAAGTTTTAAATAGTTTTCAACTCTATTATCACACGCAAATACCACCGAGGACGTTCGGCCCGATCCAACATAAATGTAAACTGTGTACTGCCGAGGGTCGAACGGCGCGAACCATAGATGCATTTATTCACCCCGCTCGCGAATCATACATGCGACGCGGTCAAATATAAATTCAGAGATTTACCCCGCTCGCGAGTGCGACGCGGTCAAATATAAATTTAATTATTTAAATCAAAATTCTTTCTTATTTCCTTTAAAAATAAAAGACAATTCAACTTGAAGCCTTTAAATCCTTAAAAATTCTGAACTTAATTCCATTTGTTACAAATAGCAAGTATAATCAAATAACGGTGTCCACGAAGCATGGTGTAAACCTAAACTACCCGGACATAACAGGAATAGTAGCTACGTACGGACTCTCATCATTTCGTGCGTATGTAGCCCCCACAAACAATCACATTTTAATTAAGTTCACCTATGGGGAAATTTTCCTCTTACAAGGTTAGAAATAGACTTACCTCGTCTTAAAGCCTACTTCCAAACTCAAGAATGCGCTTAAACCCTCAAATCGAAGCCGAATGATCCAAAACTATTCAAATAGTGAAAAAACCAATCATTATAGGTTCAAAAGTTCATATTCTAACTATTAAAGTGATTACCCAACCCCAAAGGCAAGATTCCTACAATTCATCCCCGGGCCCACGCGCCCGGGTTCCGAAAATTTTCGAATAAAGTTGTTAGCCATGACTTAAGGAACATAAATATATGATTATCACTAAGTTTCATGGTCAATTTCATGGTAACAATCTCATTCTTGTCAAACCCTAGGTTTACCTCTAAACTCATGATTTTTCATAAATCTTTACATGTTAAGCTACCCATAATCTAAGTATTTAACTCATATATAGGAGGAATTACTTACCTGTAAAAGCTTGGTGAAAACCCCCATCAAGAAACTCTAAAAATTGCCCAACAATGGAGTGAAAATGAGTTAAAAATGCCTAAGTCCCGTATTAAATGAAGTGCACTGCCAGCGATTTTTGCACCTGCGGTGCGTTGACCGCATCTGGGGTCCCGCTTCTGCGGACGAAGGTCCGCTTCTGCGGAATTGGCTGGGCTGGCTGGGGTTGCATCTGCGGTCAGGAACCGCTTCTGAAGTCCCACTTTTGCGGAGGAAGGGCCGCATATGCGGAACCTGGGCTACCTCCCTTGGCCGCTTCTGCGGTGCTTGGCTCGCACCTGCAAGCTCGCACCTGCGGCAATAGGCTCGCATGTGCGGTTACACCAGAACTGGTGCACCAGCAGCCCTTTTGAGTTTCAAACTCAACTCGCGCATCGGCCGAATGGCACCCGGGTCCCCCGAGGCCCCGTCCAACCATACCAACAAGTTTGGAATCATAAAACGGACTCGCACGAACTCACGGAGTGGTCAAAACAACATTAAAACTAAGAATCACACCCTAAAACCAATAGAATCAAACTTAAGAACTTCAAGTTCTTCAATTTACTTTCAATGCGCCGAAACGTACTTATACTACTCAGAATTACACCAAATTTTGCGTGCAAGTCTTGAATGACATTATGGAACTATTTCCAGTCTCGGAATTCACTTCGGACCTTGATATCACCAAAACTCGCTCCAAACCAAATTTAAGAAACTTCTAAAACCATCAAGAACCAACTTTCACTATTAGAAGCCAAAATGTTCTCGGGGCATCCAAAACCCGATCCGAACATGCGCCCAAGTACGAAGTCATCATACGAACCTATTCTGAGGTCGTTTACTCAAAATGTTGACCGAAGTCAAACTTTACCTTTTAAGCCAACCTTAAGGAACCAAGTGTTCCGATTTCAATCCAAACTCTTGCAAACCTCAAGCCAACCATCCCCGCAAGTTATAAATCAGTAAAACAAGTACGTGAAGTCTTATTTAGGGGAACGAGGTTCTAGAAAACAAAACTACCGGTCGGATCGTTACACCAAAGAAGGAGGTAGATAATTTGCTTTAGTGTGAAGAAAGAAGAAGATAATTTGAAAAGTTACAAGACATTACACCAAAAAAAAAAGTCAATAAAGAATTTGGAAAGTTACAATATGATTCATGTATATGATATCTTTAAATTTAAGAGAATGATAAAAATCAGAAACAAATATGAAAAAAAACTTAATAGTTTTGTCTTGAATAAATTAATTTTCTGCTTCTGCTTCTGCTTCTCGGAAGAAGCTAGAATTTTCTGCTTCTTCCCAAAAGTAGAAAAATTACTTCTGATGCTGGCTAAAAGTACTTCTTTATCTTTGTCAAACAACTTAAATTTTTAAAAAAGTACTTTTGGGGGGAAAAAAGTAATTTTGACCTCCCATAAACTTGGCCAAACAGGCTCTAAAGGGGCCCTTTCATTTGCAAAGAACCCACCTATTTTTAAAAGAATCTTTTTATACTTCCTACATTGTTTTGTTTCCTCAAATATTCTGGGAGAAATTCAAAAGTAATCAGATTTACAAGTAGTCATTCAAAAATAGCCACAGTTTCAAAAGTAATCGAAATTTAGTCACTTTTCATGTAAAGATAAATCTGAACGAAAATACTGTTCAAAATCCGAAAAATACTCCAGCATAATATACTGGAATTCCAGTATAATATACTGAACTTCCAACATAATATACTGGAGTTCTAGTATAATATGTCAATCCAGCATAATATGCTGGAAGTTCATACACATGTGGTCCAATCTCCAGTATATTATGCTGGAACTTTCCGCGTGTTGGAGTTCCAGCATAATATGCTAGAAGTTCATACACAGGTGCACCGATCTCCAGTATATTATGCTTGAACTTTTCGTGTTGCAGCAAAATAGTGGCTATTTTTCAATGACTTTGCAAACGCTGGCTATTTTTGAATGATCAGCCCGAAAACTGGCTAGCCCGTGCTATTTTTATAAATATTCTTGGTATAGCATCCATGACATATTAAAAAACGAACACATAATTGAGTTCACAAAGTAATAGTATTAAATAGTTTATCAAAGATTGAATTATACAAGGAACAAAAGCAACCCTACTTAATATAACGAAAACTCTTTCAACTAGCATATTTTTTTTGTTTTCTATTAAATTTTAGGAAGGAATTACAAGACACGAAAATGTGTCAGCCTGTTGGTGAGAGTTGTAACTAATGTCTAAATTCATTGCGGACATTTCCTCTCCTTAATTATATTCATATAGAAATAGAAAGAAAAACCGCAACAATGCTAAATGGAAATAGCAATTCATTTGTTGGTGAGATGGTAATATACTGTCAGTTTTAATCCCCATTTTCCACTCTCGAATTAGGTTGCTCCTCTCTGTTACTGTGGTTCCTCGGTGTGTGTACTGTAACATCTCTTCTCTAATGGACATATTCAATATTTTTGTTAATTAGGATGTATGAACAATCAGTGAATGAGAAGTTAAAGCACACTTAGAAACAGATATTCTTACTTAAATTTGAAATTAGAATTTAAAAACTACCCTAAAAAAGAAGAAAAGTCACGGTGTACAGAACCAATTGTAAAAGAGTGGCATAATATACGGTCACAAAGAAGCAAGAATCCTTTGTTTGATCTCCTTGAAGTTATATACCACTAATATTTTGCGGATAAAACACACATTAAATATGTTGGTGTCACGACCCGGATTTTTCACCCTCGTGAATCGTGATGGCGCCTACTAGTGAAAGCTAGGCAAGCCAATTATTCCAATTATTTAACCCTTTTCGTTTTTTTAATCCCTTAACAATTGTGAATAAACATTATATAAACAGCGGAAATAATAAAGCAGAAGAATGAAATGTAACAATTTAATAATAATACCGATACAAATCCATAAACATAAGCTATCCAGAATTGGTGTCACAATCTCACAGACTGTCTAAGAATACTACAAATAGGGGTCCAAAAGACAAATACAACGCTGTTTCTGAAGTACATAAAAGAAACAGTATAGAAAGATAGAAGGAAACGCCAAGGCCTGCGGACGCCTGCAAGACTACCTCGGGTCGCCTGATGGACTGAAAGCAGCAACCTCATTGTGGTCCAAAAGCTGTAGCACCGGGATCTGCACACAGTGCAGAGTGTAGTATCAGCACAACCGACCCCATGTGCTGGTAAGTGCCTAGCCTAACCTCGGCGAAATAGTGACGAGGCTAGGACCAGACTACCAAATAAACCTGTGCAGTTAAATTATATACAGCGAAAAAGTAAAGGCAGAAATTTACAGGTAAAGATAGGAGGGGGGAATACATGCTGCGGGGAATATTATGTAACTGCCGAAAACCAATAGATAAATGTAAAGAACACCATAATTCAATTATCAGCAAGAATCAGGAAATCAAAGACAAGTGCACGGCATCACCCTTCGTGCTTTTACTCTCGTCCTCACCATAAGAATCAATATAATCGGTACAACATCACCCTTCATGCTTTTACCTCCCATAATCATGGCACGGAATTATCCTTCGTGTATTATCACTCATATCATGGCACAACATTGTACATCGTGCAGCACGGCATCACCCTTCATGCTTTTACCTCTCAATATCGGCACGGCATCACCCTTCGTGCATTAACACTCACAAAATCATGCACGACATCACCCTTCGTGCTTTACACTCGTCCTCACCCAAGCAACAATCATAAAGCAATTTGGGCAAGGGAATCAATGACATCACAATAAAATCTTGGCAAGGGAACAATAGCGTAACAACAATATCCCGGCAAGGGAAACAATATCATGAGTAATAACATCCCGGCAAGGGAGATAATATCAAAAGCAATAATATCCCGGCAAGGGAACAATAGCATAACAACAATGTCCCGGCAAGGGAACAATAGCATAACAACAATATCCCGGCAAGGGAAACAATATCATGAGTAATAACATCCCGGCAAGGGAGATAATATCAAAAGCAATAACATCCCGGCAAGGGAGACAATATCATAAACCTCTTCTCTTTTCCACAATTACTTCACAACTCAATTCTCAACTTGAGCCAACGCTCTACAATATTCAATTACCAATAATACTTCCACAAGCCTTGTACAATAATAGAAATCATCATATAAAGCATGAACAATACGAAACGGAGTCACATTTATCATATTATAAGACTCACGGGCATGCTTGACACCGACATATAGATACTCGTCACCATGCCTATACGTCGTACTCAACAATTAACACACAGCAAATAAGACACAACTCCTAATCCCTCAAGCTAAGGTTATACCAAACACTTACCTCAATTCCACGAACACAATTCAAGCTTCAACTGCCACTTTACCTCTTGTTTCCACCACCAATTCCCTTCTATTTGTGTTTTGGGGAAGAAAGAGTGTTTGAAAAATCGCCTCTTATGCTTTAGGTTTTTGAAAAAATAAAAAATGGCTGAAAAGGCTCGTTTATATATACTCCTCTCAGATCCTCACCGCTGACCGCAAAAAAAGGACCGCGGCCGCGAAGTCCACCGCGGACCGCGAAATATCGAGCGCGGCCGCGAAGACATGGCCTTGCTCACCGCTGACCTCATCAATCCCACCGCGGTCGCGAAGACCCCACCGCAGACCGCGAAGCCTGGTTCAGAGACCTGCAACTTCTCTGAACCTGTAACCGTTATTTTTTTCTAAGTCTAAATGCACTTCGTGGCCTATCCAAAACTCACCCGAGCCCTCGGGGCTCCAAACCAAACATGCACGCAAGTCTAGAAATATCATACGGACTTGCTCGTGCGATCAAAACATCAAAATAACATCAACAACTATGAATCAAACCTCAATTTCATGAAATCACTCAAGAACATCAAAATTTTCATTTTCTCAAATAAAGATCCGATTTATACTAAACGAACTCCGATTCTTACCAAACTTTTCAGACTCAACTTAATTATTATATAAGACCTGTACCGGGCTCTGGAAC